GAGGCCAAGCTGCTCTCGCTGGAGCTCAGCGGCAGCGAGAGCGAGTCGCCCGGCAGCGCCGCGCCGCCGCCGCCGCCCTCGGCCGGCGAGGCGTCGCCGCTGCCCTCCGAGCCGTCGGCCGCCTCCGTGGGCAGCAGCCGCCTGCAGCTCAGCACTTCGCTCGCCTTCTCCGACCTCACCGAGGAGCTGCTCGACGGCGGCCACGACGGGCTGCTCCGCGAGCTCGACGACCTGCGCTCCGAGAATGACTATCTCAAGGTGGGCACGGCGCCGGGGCGAGCGGGCAGGGGGTTTGGCGTGGCGAGGGTGGGCTGGCATCTCCGGGCTTGGCATCTCAGGGCATGGTCTGCCTTGACTTGGCATCCCTTGATCGGCCTTGCCTTGGGTTGGCACCTCTGGGCATGGCTTGGTTTGACCTGCCAGAGCATCCCTGGTTTGACCCGGCTTGATGTGGTTTGACCTGGCATGGTGCAGCCGAGCACGGCTTGCGTTGACCTGCCATAGCCTCACCTGACCATGGCTTGTCTTAAGCCAGGCCTAGCATTCCTTGGCATGCCCTGGCACAGCTTGGCTTGACCTGCCATGGCATTGCCGGACCTGGCCAGGCATGACACAGCTCAGCCCAACTTGGCCAGGCGTGGACCTGCTCAGCCCAAGGCCGCCCATCTAGGCTAGAATAGCAGAGCGTGGCCCCGTTCAGGCCAGCATGGCATGACTCGCTTTGGCACAGCGTGGCTCGGCACGGCGTGGCAATGGTTTGCCCTGTGGTTCGGCTCTATTGGGCACCGATGTCCATGGTTTGCCCTGCCCAGGATGGGATGCTCCCGCATTGCTCCTCGCCTTGCTGCCCGCCCTGCCCGCTGACTCTGCCCTGCCCCTGGGGAAGGGATTTTCCAGCTCATTTGCTTTTCCCTCCTTGTTGTACGTGCTGTCAGTGCTGTCAGCGGGGTGCCTGTCTGCTCCCTGGGGCCTTTTTCCAGGCGTGCAGCTTGGCTACCTCCTAAATGGGCACATTTCAAAGGCAGGGCAGGTGACAGGGCTGCAGAGAGCACGTGCTCGTGTCCAACCTGGGTGTCTTGGCCTGGGAGACAGCAGGGTGGGCAAGGAGCCGAGCTGCCCCTCCAGGAGGACTGGGTGAGATGCTGGGTCCCCAGGGGCTGCGGGCGCTTGGCATCCCCTGCTCTTCGGTGCCGTGCGGCTCTGGGGATGTTTGTGCAGTGGTTCTCACTGCAGAAGCACCTGGATGGGGAGCCAAGAGCAGATGTGATGCCTCAGTGACTACTCTTTTGATACCGGAGGTCGGGAAGCCGGTTTAAGGCTAATGCCAAAGTTTATAAACGCATAGGGGTTTTAGCTACAAGTGGACATTAGGCTTTGGGTGACAGGCTCGAAGATGTTCAATTAGGCCCTTTGTCCATTAGCAAAGCCCTAGTTCACAGCTGGTGTCCAAACTCCTGCCAGAATTAGCAGCAAGAGCTTAAGGGCTTTGATTTGCAGAGAGCTGGAAAAATACAGATGAGGCCCCTGCAGGTTGCAAGAATGCAGCTGAAAACGCCTCTGTCCCTTTGCGTTGCATGGCTGCTTGGCAGATCTGCACATGATCATCTCTATAGCAAACTGCAGGGGAGAAGGGTTTGTACGTTGTACCCAAGTAGATAGTGACAAGGTGAATCCATGGCCAGGAGCAGGCATGAAGGTGCAGCTGGATCGTGGTGGGGATGTTCTCGGTGTCCTCTGCCCTTTGCTGCCGCGTTGTTTGGCGTCTGATGGGTTCCTGCATCCTACTGCATGCCTTATAGTGCGTATTTTGAGCGTTGTGGAGGGTGCAAACCTCGTGTGTTTGTAGTGCATGTTGCAGTGGGTGTAAAGCGTGGCGTGTTTCTGGAGCACGGCGCGAGCTCGAGCTCCTGACGGGTCCATGCGCTGGCGCTTCTGCTCCCACCTTCCCGGTGCTTGTGCTCTGCTTGTGAACGTGTTTGGGAGGGAAGGTGAGTGTGACGCAGTCCAGGCGAGTCCAGCCTCGTCCTCCAAATAAAAAAAAAAAAAAGGAGGAAGCTGCACTGTGGGTTTTGCTCCGCTCCTCCAAGGAGGAGGAGAACGTCCTTCTGGGTGTGGGGAGCTCGCTTGTGCTCTGGCTCTTCTATAAATTCGTGGGTTTGGGACATGAAGGCACCTGGGGATAAAGCCAACCCAACCAAGGGTTGGTTGCAGCAGCTCATCTGGGGACCCCAGGGCCAGAGGCTGGGGCTGGAGGTGGCTCTAACCATGGGAGCTCACCACCCCTTGGATACCAGTGAATCACACTTGTTAGGGGTGACAAATTTTCCTAAGGCTCATGAAAATAGCCAAGGATGAAATTTTCACCCATCAGGGCAAAACTGGGGGGGTTTGGGGCAGATGGGTGGGTGTTGGTGTCCTGCTGTGGCTTGGCCCCTTGTCAGGCTCACGGCGTGTGTTGCCACGATGTTTTTGTGGCGTCCATGAGCTCCAAAATGCGTCCGTCCCCGGCAAATCGTGGCACTCTGTCATTGTGCCAGCTGGTGTTGCCTCTTTCCTCGGCTGTGATAATAAAATGTACATATTTAAGCACACCTCAGCCGCTTCTCTTTGCAGCACAGATTTGCTCGGGCTGCACGAGGGGGGATTTTGGACAAAGGCTTTTGCTGAAGGGCTGGCCGTGCAGGGAGGGACCTTTTTGGGCCTGTGTTTTCCTCTTCTGCTGGGCGATGAGTCACAACGAGGCTTCTGAGATCCCGAGCCCCAAGCTGCAAAATGCACCGACGAAATCACCATTGGAGATACTTGGTTTTTCCCCCCCGGGGTTGGTTTTCCTGCAGCTCGGTCCTGCTCCAGGGTGTCCCTGGGGTCTCTCCGGTGCTTGGGCATGGGTGGCCGGGCAGAAGGGGTGCCCTGGAAGCCCCACGACTGCTCCCTCTTCCTCTTTCCCGTCTGGTCGGGTTGTGCCTCTCGCTGCTCCATGGCTGACGTGGGTCGTGGGAGCAGCATAACCCATTGCAGGGGTTCATTAAAGCCCCCCCAGATGCAAGGAGGTGCCTCGGGGGGTCTCTCCCCTGCTCTCCGCGCAGAGGAGCCGCCGGCCCCGCTCGCGCCAGACCAGAGGCGGCAGCAGCAGCAGCAGCTCCGCAGGGACGGGCAGACAAAGAGCGGGCACGGGGAGACGTGGGAGCCGGGGAGGGGACAGGCGGCGCTTGCTCCGTGTCCCTTATCCCATCGGGACAACCCGGCCTCCGTCCCGCTCCGTCCCGGGATGCCGCGTGCCCTCCAGGGGGGCCCGGCTTCATCCCACAGCCCCTTTCCCGCTCTGCAGCCGGCCCCAGCTGCCTGCCCGATAATTTATGGGGGCAGGTGTAGAGCTGAAAAATGTTGTTTTTTCTCTCGCCGGGCTGGCTTTGCTCGCTGAACTGCTGAGGGAAGGGTGGCCGTGTTGGAGCTGCGGTTAATGCATAGGAAGCAGGCGGTGGCACCCAACGGGGTCCCTTCCCCAGGCGCCCCTTTGCACAGGGGTGTCCCCCCGAGCCCCGCTGCAGGGACCTCGTGCAGGGGACGTGCAGCACAGCCCAGCGCCGTTTCCCAGTGGGAACCCAGCGTGCTCTGTGGGTGTTTTTCTCATTTCTTTTTTTCCTTTTCTCCTTGCAATTTGCAGCCTAATTCCCTTATCAGTCAGGTGGCGGCTTGGCGTTAATGGAAAGCTGCTGCTCGTGGTTTCCAGCCTCCGGGATTGCTTCTTGCTCCATAATCCCCCTCAGCACCCGGTGCTGCCCAGTGGGTCCTGCTTGATGCCACAGCCCCGAGCATCCCAAAAAGGGGGTGATGCAAAAACACAGCAAGCTTCCCACCCCGTTTTTGTAAAAAAACGCCTGTTTTCCTCCGCTGCACGGCGAGGGGACGGCGCTGTCCCCGTGGGCAGGCTTGGCCGTGTCCCAGAGCCGTTGCCAAGGCCCCGCAGTGTCTCTGCTCCGGGCAGCGTGACAGCCGCTGATGTCGTCATTATTTGCCTGATTCCCAGCCCGCTGCTGCTCTCTGCCCCTGCGAGATAGCGAGGCAGGGCCTCGACGCGGCGCCGAGCGATGCGCCCGGGCTCCTGCGTGCCTTCTCCTTGCCTCTTTCCGATCAAATGCCATTTGTGTGTATTTTTTAGAGCTGCACCCGGCCTGTTTGTGCCCGGCCTTGCTGCTCTGCCGAGGTCTCCCCATGGGAGGCAGCTTCTCAAGGGGCTGCAGGAGGATGATGGTGCCTCTCACCTTCCTCCCGCGGGTGTTGGTTGGGTGAATGGGCTGGGTTTGGATCTCTGAGTGTTCGAACATCTCCCTTGGGACCGCTGGTTCCCTGCAGGTTTTCCCAAGATGGCAGATTTCCCCAGGAACTCCCGAAAAAACAGGACATTGCTGCTGCTTTGTGTGTGTGCAGGAGGCAGAAGATGGAGCGCATGGATAAATCCGCTCGTGTTAGAGGTGGCGAGCGGCGCTTCCCTGCCCACCAAAGAGGGATCTGGTCTCGAGCTGCTTTCCCGTGATGGAACGAAGTCACCTCTCCCTTCCTCAGTGTCATTCCCTCCTCCTGCCTGGCTCCCTGAGCACATGGAGGCCTCGCTGGTTTGGGTCCCCTGCCTCCCAGCTGCTTCTTGTGGTGTGTATTGGTGGCCCTGCCCTCCCAGGTCCCCTTCTGCTCTCCTGGCTCCAGTTCTCACTTCATTTGCCCCCATTTCTGATGCTTCCTCTTTGCAGTGCCTAGAATTTGAGGTGTTTCCGAAGGGTCCTCGCCACTCCTGCCTCTGCCCTTTATTTTGACTGATTTGCTTTGTGGATTTTTCTATTCTGCCTTTTGAGATGATGCTTTATTTTGACTGTTTTGCTTTGTGCTTTTTATTTTATTCTGCTTTTTGGGATGATGCTTTATTTGACTGTTCTGCTTTGTGTTATTTTTTCATTCTGCTTCCTGAGATGATGCACGTTGGCTCCAGCAAAGGTGGTTTGGGGGCTCCTCCCTGGCCGTGGCTGGAGCTGCTCCCGCAGGGAAGATTTTCCTGCGTTTTCCCCCCCGACAGCCTCTCCTCTCACGCGACACCTTTTCTCTGGGCGGCTTTCCTGGCGGCTCATCACAGCCGGGGCCTCCAGCCGTGTCCAACGGTGCCGCTGAGCTGTTTTGCTGCTGCTCCCGGCCCCGTGCAGAGCATCAGCTTTTCCGCTCTAAGCTCCCTTCCAATTTGCCGGCATCTCCCTGGCCTCCAATCCTAATCCATTTATTATGGCTTAAGCGAACAGCTTGCCTCCGAGGGAAGAGCGCAGTGCCTCGAGCCGTGCTCTCTAATTGCAGGTTTGCTCCGTGGATTTATTGGCGTGACGGGTCCGGGCAAATTCCCGCTGCCAGGATGAAGGGAGGTGCCGCTTTTCTTTCCCTCCCTGCTCCTGGCCCTGCAAAAAACGCCTCCGACTGAGATGCTCCTGGGCATCCCATGAAAGGGGCAACTTGGAGCTGGGATTGCAGTGGACGCAAATGCCCTGAGCGTGGTGGTTGCTGCCATCCCATGGGATGCCTGATGCGGGGAGTCGGAGCAGCATGGAAAGCAGTATGGAAAGGAGCAGCATGGAGCGGAGCAGCATGGAGCTGCTGCTCCCTGCGCTGCTCGAGCCCGTGGTTGCTTGATGGAGCTGCTGCCCCTGCTGAGCAGCCTGAGGAAGACGAGTCACAAAGAGGAGCTGCTCCCGTCAGCGTGTGGATGGGACCCGAGCAGCCCCGCGTGCCTCGACGCTTGTGTTTGAGTCACCTCTCGTACAAATCTGATGGAAAAAGGTTTCCTGCAGCCCCTTCCCGCTGAATCCCACTCTGAATATCCCACTCCCCGACCCCATCGTGTGCGGCAGCGTCTCCAGGCCCTCGTGCCAGGCTGGGCATCCCCAGGACGCCCTGTCCGAGGCCCTCACCGCTCCAGCTGCCTTTGTGCACGACCCTGTTCTCCCTGGCTAGGAGGCCCTGGGATATAAGTGGAAGGGGGAAGCAGCTAGCAGCCCTTTGATTTTAGTAGAGGGTGCCAATGTTGGCCAGTTGTGGTGTGTGTGTTCAGGCTTGCGGGGTTCCTGGTTGCATCCTGTGCCTGCGAGTGCCAGCCCTGCCTCCCTGCTGCACCGGAGCATCCTTGGCACCGTGGGCTGCACCAGAGGTGTCCTTGGCACCACGGGCTGCACCAGAGCGTCCTTGGCACCGCAGCACCCGCCTTGGCAGGGCGACATCGCCGGCGAGCTCCTCAAGTCTGCCCGGAAGATAATCCCGGATTGTCCCATTGACGCTCCTTATTTGTCATGTAGCATTTAAAGATAACAGTGAGCGACTGTGACTTATCCCTCCAGCTGCCTGGGCCCCTTGGGGCCACTCCTGTGGATGGGGCTTTGTGCGGGGGAGCGGGGTGCCGGGCACCCCCAGCCCCGCCGGGCGCCGAGCCCGCTGTGGCGAGGGAGGCCGGACCTGCCGCTGGCCAAGTGTGTGCCCAGGGTGGTGTCCCTTGTTCCCTAGGGAATGGGAGGCCAGCGGAATGTTCCCCAGGGAATGGGGCCTGGTGGTGGCAGAGACTCGGTGCTCGACCAGAGCTCGGTGCATCTGCGGTGTCGGAGGGTGTGGGGCAACGTGCACTCGCCCTGGACACCTCTCCTCGTATCAGGCTGGTGTTTCAGGCAGTCGTCCAGCAGCAGCAGCACTGCTGGGGGCAGAGGGGCTTCACCCTGGTGCAAGGCAGTGGCCTGGAGACCCTCTCCTCAGCTCTGGCCACTTGGGAAGCAGGAATTGCATTTAGCAGCAGATGGAGGGTTTTAGTGGCGTGGGCCTTTTGGCAGGGAAATGGATGATCCCTTTTCGGGAAGGTTCCAGGTTTGACCATGTTGAGGGTGACAGCCACAATGGGGTGCAGTTTCCTTGGAAGACTTGAGGTTGCACTAGCGGGGACTTGGAAAGAGCCTTGGTTGGTGCCACCAGCTCCGTAGCGGCCTCCAGAGCCCAGAGGGGACAGTCCCTGGATGTCACCTGGGGATGCCGCCTGTTGCAGGTGGGTCCCGTGGTGTTTGTGGCCTGAAAACCTGGAGCAATCTCTGGGTTGGTGTCGGTGCCGAGAAGCAACCTGCCCCTCCACGAGGGCTCCCTCGTGGGGGCTGAGTCCCCACAAGCACTAATGAGAAACGCGTCACCGTGCAATTTAACGAGGCTGCAGAGGTGAAAGGTGGCCCCAGCTCTGCAGTTGCTTCCTGGTGACAGAAGGAGCCGCAGCCTCTGCTGCCCAGGGAGATGAGGCCTCGTTCGCATCATTGGACTTGGCGAGCTGGCCGCGGCGCAGCCCGGGGCTGTTGTCCGTGTTGCTCCTTCGCTGCCCAAATCCAGCACAGCCTAATGGGCTCCTCCGTGCCAGGCTCCCCGTGGCTGCCTGTGGCGGCAGAGCGGCTTGGGGGGCAGGTCCCAAAGAGGTGGGTGCTGTGGGTTCTGCCCCGCCAGGGTGTCACCTGCTGCCCCCAGCCTGCAGGGAGCTGCTAGATCCATCTTCTCCCATCATGGCTCCTGGGTCTCACCAGCACCTTCCTCGCATCCACCCTCTTCCCTATCCCTCCTAGGGGCCTGGTCCCGTCTAGCAAAGTGGTGGCCTGGCTTCTGCAGCGTCCCAGTGCGCAGTGACCTGTCTGTGAGGCCTCGTGCCCACCCGGGGCTGTTGGTGGCAGCCTGCCCTTGCTGGCATGTGCTCCTGGGGACACGGTGCTCCGTCGGGGCCCTCGGGATGCTCGGTGGCCCTGGGGCCGGCCAGTCCTTCTCCTCTTTCCCGCTGGGCCTGGCAGGGGCTCTTGTCCCCATGTTGCCTCTTCCCTCCTCTCCTCTCGGGGCTCCTCCGCTCGCCCGCCTGGCTCCCTCCTCTGACACATCTTTTCCAAGGCGACCTACATTCTTTTTTCTTGCCGGAGCTGCCGCCGCCTGCAGAGAATCCTCTCCCTGCCCCCACCATCCTCTTGATTTCCCTCTTCAAATATCTGCGGGCGCTCTGCGGCTCCCCGGGGCTCGGGCAGGCACGGGGATGGTTTGAAGTCCACGCTGCCCTCCTGAGGTCACTGCTGGCCCCACGGGGCTCGGTGGCAGCTCGGGGGTGGCTTTTGCTTGGGGCTGAGCCTGCTGTGCTCTTACCTCCCTAAGAGATGCTCCGTGGGGTCGTGTGCCGTCATCCACCGTCCCTCTTGGAGCGTGTCCGTGTCCTGGAGCGCCGCTGAGGAGCCTGCCGGGATTCCCCGTTTGCCGAGCACGAGGCTGCTGGAGGGCTTGGTGTGATGGGCGCAGGGCCTTGGTGGCGGTGGAGCACGGGGCCTTGGGCGAGACGCGTTACCTGCTGTGACTGCAACCGTGCTCTGCGCTGGAGGAGCGGGACCGCTGGTGTGCGGGGCTCGGAGCCTCGCGTGGAGGAGGAGGGAGGGCTCGATCTGCTCGATCTGCTGCTCTTTGCTGTCTTTTCAAGCCTACAAATAGTCCTGCTCCGTTCCCAGGGCCTGGCAGCTTTCTTCAAGAGGGACCTTCATCCGTGTGGGGAGGCAGCTGCGGCCTAAGGAGAAAGAGTCTCCATTGCTGTGAGCGGGCCTGTGGTGCCGTGGGACGTCACCCACGGGGCACACGTGAGCAGGGAGCTGCTGTGTGGGGTTGGTGCTGTCCCCACACCCCAACGCTTTGTGGCTGTGGGGCAGCACCTCCTGCCTGCTGCTCCCCGGCCCCTTCCACCTCTTGTGACCTTTGCTCTGTGCTTGGGAGCTGGGGCACCCAGACCAGGGGTATTTGGGCCGTAGCATCAAGTTTCTTTTCCCAAGGATAGAGATGGGGCTGCTCATTTTGAGGATGGCCAAGGAGCCGTGGCAGAGCTGGGGGCAACCCTGAGCTCTGGGGGCTCTCGCTGCCACCAGCAGCCCAGGAGGATCTGAGCACCTTGGCATGGAGGAGCCTCTGGGTGCCATGGGAAAGGGGACAGGGAAAGCCAGTCACACATGAGCCAGGCTGTGGGGCTCCCTGACACGCGTCTCCCCGCAGGACGAGATCGAGGAGCTGCGTGCGGAGATGCTGGAGATGCGGGACGTCTACATGGAGGAGGACGTCTACCAGCTGCAGGAGCTGCGGCAGCAGCTGGACCAGGCCAGCAAGACCTGCCGCATCCTGCAGTACCGGCTGCGCAAGGCGGAGCGCCGCAGCCTGCGCGTGGCGCAGACCGGGCAGGTGGACGGCGAGCTCATCCACAGCCTCGAGCAGGACGTCAAGGTACGGCCAGGCCGCCCCGCGCCGCTTGCTTTCCCTTGGTGCCCGTGCACCTTGGTGGCGGGGGGACGTGGAGGGAGGGCCTGAGCATCCCGCCATTCAGTGTGCAGGAGAGCCGGACACGGTCACATTGGTGGGTCCTCTCGTTGCTGGTGGTGTTGGGTGGCCTGGGAGGGGACGGTTAGGACAAAAGGCTCCTCACAGTTTGGGGGAACCATCTCTCAATGGGATGTCACCATTCCCCTCTAGCCATGGAGGTCCAAGAAGGGAGGAGCAGTGTTTTCATGCACAGGCAGTCGAGGAGGAGGAAGAGGAGGAGGAGGAAGAGGAGGAGGGGGAGGGGGGCTGCCTGTGCCGTTGCAGCCCATGCAGTGAGGGCAGGGGCTGCCTCGGCAGCCTTGCACTGCCCAAAGGCTCCCCGTGCCGGTGCTCAGGGGCCAGGCTGCGTCCCCGGCAGCTCCTCACGAGCTCACAGGGGCTGCCGCGGGATGCAGGGTGGCGGGATGAAGGCAGCACGGGTGCCCGTACCCCCAGCCCGGCAACCCCTGGGCTGCGGCACCCGGAGCTCCCTTATCTCAAAGGATTGGAATTTGCAGGGTGCCGAGGCCACACGAGCAGAACAGGAGGCAAAAGGGCTACGATGGGGCAGCTGCTCCGTGCTGGAGGCTGGAGCAGCACGAGATTGCCTAGTCCTTCACTCGACCCCTTTCCTTCGCCTGGCTCCCCCTCTTGCAGGCGCTGTCCTGCCTGCAAGAGGGGGCTGCTCCGGGCGCTCCCCTCTTTGCCGTCGGAGGCAGGATGGAGTTTGAAGCGGAGCCAGCAAGGTCCTTGCACAAAGCAGCCCTGGAGCTGCCAAGTGCCCTCGAAGCAGAAAACAGCCTGGGTGGGAGCCGAAACGCGCCGTGAGTGGAGCTGGAGAGGCTCCTTGAGCGGGGCCGGCCCGGCTGGAGCCCGTCTCACGCCGCCCGGACCTGCCCAGCCTCAGTCCCTGCTCCTTGCGGGGCTTTGGGAGGATGGAGTTTGTGCAGGGTGCTGAATGCAGGCGGCAGCTCCGGGGGCAGAGCGGGCTCGGCTGCCCGCGCGCTCCCCGCGGGCCCCTTGGCTCCATTCCCACGCACGGGAACGAGCGCTTTGTTCGCTCCCGTGGGGAACGGGCAGAGCTCCCGCTCGCTGCTTTGGCGGCTCCCATCGCTCCGGCCCTGCCGGAGCAGCGGCAGGACTTAGGCGAGGGGCAGCTGTGAGGTTTTTCCGTAACCCGATGCAGCAGCTCCCCTTTCCCCCCCGGGGCTGCCCGGGAAACCGGCTGTCCTGCAGCGGCTCGCCTGGCTCAGCTGTGTCGGGGCCCGGTTAGTACAAAAAGGCAGAGAGCATCTGATGTCCTGGTGACGCTCCTGGGGAAGCCGGGCTTTAGCAGGCACCCCGGAGGGGAGCCTGGTGCAAGGGTGGTCACTGCGTGACATACAGGGCACACGCCAAAAATGCAGAAGATCTCCCGATTTCTGTGGTTTGGCTGCAGGCCCACGCTGGGCAGGGGGCACTTTGCCATGTTGCAGCTTCTGGATGGTGGAGGGATGGTGCCCAGTGACTTTCCAGATCCTGCTGCCACTGGTACCGGCGTGCTGTGGGCCAGTGAAAGGCTCCCATATGTGCCCCATATGGTGTTTGCTTTGGAGGTCGTCTGCTCCCTGTTCCCAGCTCCTTGTCCTGTCTGGTTGCCCATTTGTTAAGATCTGCAGCCTGTGGCAGTAAGGATAGGTGTTTGCATGGAGGGCTGTGGGGCTTTAGCATGGAAAAGGGCCCATCTTGGCTCCTGCAGGACTCATGAGGGGTTCAGACACAGCTTGAGGATCTCCTTGGGCACCATCCATGGGCTGCAGTTACATTCAAGGTCCTGCCCCGGTGCTCCGGGCAGCTGCAGTCCTGGCTCTGAGCGTGCAGCTCCCGGCCCGATCACAGCTGGGTTGTGTCCCCAGGTGGCCAAGGATGTCTCCGTGCGGCTCCACAACGAGCTGGAGGCAGTGGAGAAGAAGAGGATCAGGCTGGAGGAGGAGAACGAAGACCTGCGCCAGAGGCTCATCGAGACAGAGCTGGCCAAGCAAGTGGTGCAGAACGAGATGGACAAGCTCCGAGAGGTGAGCGGCACGTGGGGAGCGGGGCCACGTCCTTGGGGAAGGATGGTGGCACGGGGTGCGTGCCGAGCAGTGCAGACCCATGCCCAGCTGTTAGAAACGCCAGCGAGGCTCTGCCCCGGGCGGCTCCGCTCGCTTTGCTGAAACCCAAGCCGCCCAGCCGGGGCGCAGCCGAAACCCGAGCGGCTCCCCGCTCGCCTCCCTGCTCCGAGGGAGGCCTGTGAGCAGGGACGGAGTGTCTCCGATTGCAGCGGGGCTCGGCACGGCCTCTCTTAATGCATCCCCGGCAGAAATGGCTCTTCCTGAGCCTGGCAGCCCGGTGAATCGCGTGCGGTGGAGGCTGTTCCCTTGCCCGGCGCGGTGCCCGGTGCTGCCCGGGTTTTGTGTGTCCGTGGGACGCAGCGGGCGGGCCGGGTTTGCTCCTGTGCTGCAGTCTCAGGTGGTTCGGCAGGGCTGGCTGCTGTTCCGTCCTTGGTGACAGAAAGGCATCCTGGTGACAGCGAATCCGTCACGGCGCTCGTAACCCACTTCCCCAGTGCCCCGGGCGCCGCATCCCCAGGGAGCCTCTGGCAGCGCCGCTGCCTGAGCTGCCGAGGCAGCAGAATCACAGGATGGTTAAGGTTGGAAGGGACCTCTAGAGATCACCGAGTCCAACCTAGAAGGTTAGGACTTCTCCACAGCGTCAGAGGAGATGCTGCGGCCGAGCCCCGCGTGGGCAGGAGAGCCGGGATGTGGCTTGGGATGGCTGGGACCACTTGCGCCCTGGCTGGATTTGCAGCCTGGGTTTCCAAGGCGGAGAAGGCGGCCATGGGATCTGTGCACAGGGTACCCAAGAGGTCCCGGTGTCTTGCCTTGGCCAAAAGCCACTCTTGCCTGCCCTCCTTGTGCATTTTGACAGAAGGTATCAGGGTGTGCAGGGTGGTATCTTTGTGCGTGGTAGCGAGGAAGACGAGTCCAAAGGAGCGGTCGGGGATGTCGGGAGCACCTTCCCGAGGCTCCCGGCTGCAACGCCGAGCAGGTTCGCGTGCGGAGCAGCTGGGCCGTTCGCCCTGGCTTGTAGAGCCCAGTGTGTGAGACCTCTCTTCCCCGCTGCATGCGAGGCCAGAGGGGCCCCGCATGCTCTGTGCCCCGCTTAGAGCAAAGTCTAGTGCCCCAAGGGGGGATGAGCCGGACTCCCTAGGCCTGGCCCAGCCCCCCCTCTTTGTGCTTGGGAGAAGAGCGCTCCAGCTCTTGGAAGCACCCCAAGGTGCAGAGCTCCATGGACCAGGTGCTGCTGGTGAGGAGCTGCGTGGGTGAAGCCGAGCCCTGCAGCAGCACCACCCCAGCGAGCAAGGCACTGGGGTTACTCGCTTAATTCCGGAGTGCTAATTAGACAAATGAGCGAGTTCGCAGCCTGGGGGCTCCTCTTTTCTTCTGGCTGCAGGGAGCCGAGCAGCAGCAGAGCTTGTTAGCAAAGCAAACAGGAACCGGGCGCTGCTGGGGCTGGGCTGGTCTTGCCCCCTGAGGGCAGATTATTCTCCCGTGCAAGTGGCTTTTCCCATAATTGGATAATCGTGGGGATGGGTGGTTAATCAGTGGGTATTTGTGCCGCTGGCTCTGCCCCACCGGAGCAGTGGGATCCTTCCAGCGGCGTCTCCCCAGAGCCTGGGGAGGCAGCAGAGAGTGGGACGGGGCCAGGGACCCAGAAACCAGCTGGGAACATGGAGCTGCCCAGGGGGACTGCAGGGCCTTGCCCACGGCAGTGACTGACACCCGACCCAGGGCGCTGCTTTTGGGGTGCTCGGGGGGCCAGGGGTGCCCTGTGCCCCCCGGCTGTGGGGCTGGGGGTGCCCAGCCTGCGCCGGGGGGAGCGTTTGCAGCAGCAGCAGCACATCAGCGATGGTCTTGGCCTTAATAGGAAAGCCTGGGTCTCGGTGCCTTGGCGCAGGCAGCGTTTTGCATTTCACAGCTGCTTTCCTTGGCTGCTGCGCCAGCTTGGGAGGAGGTGGAGGGCGGCCGCGCACGGGGGCTGGTGTCCAAGGGGCCCAGCGTTGCCCTCGGTGGGTGCAGGATGGTGCTGAGCTCCTGGTGCCTCTCCTGGATACTGCAGCTCTCATCTCGGGAGGTCACACTGGTCTCCCTGTGTCCACAGCCTCCGGAGCCCCAGGGTAGCATGGAGCTGGGATAGGGCTGGAACAGCTGAGTGCTTCCGTGTTTTCCCCCTACCTTCCATTCCCAGATGACTGGCCTGGCTTTTCCCCCCACCTTGGCCCTGGGCACCTCTTTTTTTACTCATGGCTCTGATGGGCAGACAGAGGATTCCCTGGAGCTCTGCTGGTCTCCGGGCTCACTGGTGCCCTGTGCTTCGGGGATTTACAGCCCGCACAGAGATCCTGCAGCGTCGGATGCCTTCGGAGCGGCTCTGCTTGCTGGGATTTATGAGGCAGAGCTCCACAGGGCAGGATCTGGGAGGGCCCCAGCTCCCTGCGAGCTCCTCAGCAGTGACTCACCCTGCCTGGAGCCCCGGTGACACAGCCACCGCCTCCTGAGTGACATTCATTGGGTATCTGGGTGCTTCAGAGCCCGGGGGCTTGAGGAGTGACCCGGCCAAAATCGCTGGCTCCAGGGCTCGGCCGAGCTCATGTAAAACAGGTAGAATGAAGCTCTCGAGTTGCCTTATGCTGCCCTGTGCTTTTCACAGGGCCCTCCTGGGGCCTTTGCCGCCCCTGTGGAAGGAGGAGGTGATGAGGGACGTCTTCATCACCTGGGATGCCCCCAGAGCTGTCTCTCGGCCTGGGAACCAGATGTCCTGCTCCGTCCATCCTGACGCAGCGTCCTGTGACTCAGGCTTGCCGGCTCTCGTTTCCTGTTCTCGCTGCTCGTGTTGGTGCTTGCTGCCTGCAAGGAGAATTTGTGGCTAAACTGCACGGTGTAGAGCTTGGCAGTCCTGCTTCTCCAAAGCCAGGGGCTGCAGTCTGCAGGCTCCACAATTCCTGCATAATCCTGGGTTTTGCAAGCTCCTGGAGAGGCTGACATCGCTTTTCTAGGCTGGCCCTGAAGGATGCTGCAAAGCAGGGCCCTGCGTGCAGCGAGCTGTTCCTGCTGCATTTGCTGTGTATAACCTGTCTCTCTTCCCTCTGCAGAATTCCTTGAAGAAAAGGGGGTCTCGTTCCGTCGGGAAGACTGAGAAGAAGCCCTCGGTGCAGGTATTTGTGCTGCGTGGCTGGGGCGCTTGGTGTTTGCTTGCTGATGGTGGTGGCTGCATGCGGGACGTCAAGTGTGATCCCGGGCATGGCAGTGACATCCCCTTGCTCGCAGGGCTTTCCCGCCTGCACAGGGGAGGAATTGATGCGCTGGGGCATCTCCGTCGTCCTCAGCCACCCTCTTGTCCCCTCTGTCAATGGGGCATCAGTGGCTGCGCCAGCAGCTTTAACCCTTTGCCTCTGTCACCACCCGGTGCTGTAGGAGTGAGTTGAAGGACTTGGCTTTCACAGCGCAGAGCTGCTCCTGGTCTAGTCTGGGGCTCTTGCAACCTCCATCTCTCCTGTCTGTGCTGGCAATGATACCCAAGGGACCACAATGAGAGCCACTGAGGGGTGCAGGTGTCACCGTTTTCCATCCCAGCCATGCTACAAGGACAATGCAGGACATGGGGTATTTGTCAGCTGGGGGAAGGATTTCATCTGCCACTTGCTGTTGAGATGAGCGGTCGTGACTTGCTAATTCCATTACTAGGAGTTGAAGGGACAGAGCTGCTGTTTTGGTAGTAGACATGGAAGTGCCTTATTGCTCTTGAAATCCACTTTCAAAGGCAAAAGGTGGGAAAGACCTACTTCCAAGGTGGGAAAGGATCAGTAAATCGGATCAGTAAATTCCCTTGTGTAGAGATGGCCCTCTCACACACTCTGTGTGGGCTGGACAAGCCAAGCGTGGTGTCTCTGGGCTACTCCTAGCGATGCCAAGACCTCGTTGCCTGGGGTGCCAGGTGAAGATATGCTGGTCTTTGGCTTCAGGAAGGTGCAGCTTGCAGTGACCAGCGCAGTCCAGTGCAGTGACCAACTGCACTGGTCAAAGAACCACCTGAGAACCACTGAGCGGTGGCCCCATCAAGCTCCAGGAACAGAGCTGAACCCCCTGAGGCTTAACTAGAGCCCAGCCTCTGCCTCCTGCTGAGCCAGGAGGGGTAGGAAACCCAGCCCAGCCTTAGGCTGCAGTCACACAACCCTGTGCTTCTCTTCGCCCAGGCACATGGGGCAGGACGAAGGAGCTGGCCCAGCCTCAGAGCTGTGGGTAGCGCTGCAAAGAAACCTCAGGCTTCCTGGGGCTGCGGGGAGCGCTCGTTTTGCTGCAGAAACCGCCCTTTGCAGCTGGCATCTGCTGGGCTCTTCTCTACGTGCCCTTGCAGCGCTCATCTCTCATGCGGCGCCGAGCACGAATAACGTTGAGACATAAATATAAGTGCCCCAGGCTGTGGCTTCCTGCCATGGGGCTGAGCTGGCCCAGCCGCTGCGGCCCCTCGTGACTCACGGTGGCTTCCTGGGTCTGCTTCCTGCTCCGCGGCGCATCCGCCACCACTAAAACACGTGGTGACAGGGACGGACCCCTAGCTGAGGTCCCTGCTCTCTTCCCCCGGATCCCGGCAGAGCTCCCGAGGGATTTGGTGCCCGCCTGGGTGCCCCGCAGCCCCACGCTCTTGCCATGCGCTGGCAGCGCCAAGGTTGCAGGGAGAAAATCCAGCCAGCTGCCTTTTTCCTGGGAAAACAGGAACTGAGGTCACGTCTGCCCCGGGCGGCCGGCGCGGAGCTGGCCCTTGCCGCCCCTAATCTCCACAGCTAATTAGAAAGGGCCACTTGTGAGGCAGAATATAGCTCTAATGCGCCTTAGCGAGGTCACATCTCCGCCAGGAGCCCTGTTTGCAAACGGGCACGGGAGAGGAGGCTCAACGCTTTGGAAAAGGGCTCAGCACCCCAAAAACATGCGTGTGCCATGGAAAACACAGCCCTTGCTTGGGGATCTGTGTAAAAACCAGGACCTGGATTGCGTTCCTGCAGATCCCGGTGTGACACACGGCTATGCCGGAGGCTCCAGGAGCTGTGTTTGCTTTGGTGCTGATCCAGGGATGGAGCAGGGCTAGTCCGTAGGCTCCTTGCTCTCTCCCAGGAGCCGCCTGCAGGAAAAGGGCATCAGGCTGGATCGTGTCCCTGCAGCTCCTGACATAAGCGGCGCTCAGGGGCACGAGGCCAGAACGGCCCCCGTGGCTCCCGGGTGCCACCGGAGACACCCCGCTGCCTCCATCCATTGCAGCCCCGGCCGCCCCGGGCTCGTAGAGCAGCCCTGGAAGGTCGCAGAGGAAATAGCTGGTGGGCTTTGAGCCATGGCACCGTGGGCACGGTGTGGATGGCAGCGCGGAGGGGTCACCGCTGTCCCCGCTGGAGCAGAGCCTGTTGCTCCCGGCCGAGGAAACAGGAAACGCGCTGAGCTCGGCGAGGGCTGCGAGCGAGAGGCTCTTTGTGCGGGCAGCTCGTGCGCTGGGAAGCGAGCGCCCGGCACCGTGTCTCCAAACTGCCCAGTTTCCTCACAGCTCTGCCCGGGAAAGCTGCTCCCTGCGGCCGTGCACAGGGATGGCCCCGCTCCCTGCGCAGCCTCCGGCCCTGCCCCGGCCTCCGCAGGAGCCGAGCGGCCACTGGAGTGACCCCGAGCACGGGAAGCCGCGAGCTGGACGCCAGGAAATCCTTCTGCCTCCAGCAACCTTCCCGGAGCGCGGAGAAGCTCTCCCTGGGCAAAGCACTGAAATCCTCCTTGCTAAATTTAAACAAAGTGCTGGAAAACAGGCTGGAGCAGCGCAAGGGGCTTGGCAAGGGGCTGCTGAACCTTCTCGTGCTTTTTTGGCTCCGCTGCCCGTGCCGTGCGGTGCGGAGGCCGCGGCAGCAGGGGCAGCTGCCGGGAGCGAGCAGGGCTGGGATGCTGGGCGGCCGCCAGCAGCAGCCCCAGCCCTTCTTCCCAAACGTGTTGTGGCCGCTGGGCTGGGAGGCGAGCGCAATCCGCGGGGGAGGAAACCAAGCTGCAGCTTTTATTTTCCTCCGTGGAGCCGGGTGTCTTTCCCTCCGGGCTCTTCCATGCTGCTGCTTCTCCAGATGCTGCTGCTTCTCCTTCTGGGATGAAGCTCCAGTTTGGAGGGGCTGCTGGGGTGCAAGGGCAGCGTGTCCCCAAGGGGGTCCCATATGTCCTGGTCCTGTTCTGCCTCCTGGGCTCACTGGCTGTCTGGGATCAAAACAACCCTTGAGCTGAGCAGAAAAGCACCCAGCTTGCTAGGCCTGCCTAACTGCAGCCGATCTGACCGTGTCTCTAACGCCCCTGCCCTCTTCATTCCCAGGAGGACAGTGCAGACCTCAAGTGTCAGCTGCATTTTGCCAAGGAAGAGTCGGCGCTCATGTGCAAGAAGCTGACCAAGCTGGCCAAAGAGAACGACAGCATGAAGGAGGAGCTGGTCAAATACAGGTCCTTGTATGGGGACCTCGACAGCTCCCTGTCCTTGGAGGAGCTCGCCGACTCTCCCCACTCCCGGGAGGCCGAACTCAAAGTCCACCTGAAGCTCGTGGAGGAGGAGGCCAATATCCTGAGCCGGAGGATAGTGGAGCTGGAGGTTGAAAACCGTGGGTTGCGGGCGGAGATGGATGACATGAAGGGTCAGGGGGACAAAGAGCTCCTCGGACAGGACATTCGGTTCCTGTCGTCCCCCTCGAACTGCGGGGACTCCGGGGAGAGTCTTGTGGAGCTGAGACGGCACCTGCAGTTTGTGGAGGAGGAGGCCGATCTGCTGAGGCGGTCGCTGATGGAGCTGGAGGACCAGAACAAGCTCCTCATGAACGAGCTGAATAAGTACAAGTCTGACCACGACCTGGACATCACGTTGTCGGAGGACAGCTGCTCGGTGATCAGCGAGCCCTCGCAGGAGGAGCTGGCCACGGCCAAGGTGCAGATCAGCGAGCTGAGCGGCAAGGTGAAGAAGCTGCAGTACGAGAACCGCGTGCTGCTCTCCAACCTGCAGCGCTGCGACCTGGCCTCCTGCCAGACCACCAGGCCCATGCTGGAGACCGACGCCGAGGCCGGAGACTCGGCACAGTGCATCCCCACCGAGCTCTGGAGGGACGGGCCCGTCGGCGGCGAGAACGATGCCCAGGAAAGGATGCCTGGCAGCGGGAAGGCTCCGGACGGCAGCCCCACCAAGCTGCTCAAGTCCAAGGACTTTGAGACCCTGCTGGGCATCCGGGACCAGGCAGCGCTCGTCAGCAAAGCCATCGACGTCTTGATTTCGGACACCAACGGCTTCACGTCCAGCCTCAAGCTGTGCCTGGACAACGAGAGCGTGGGCGGGATGCTGAGCGAGGCCGTGGACAACAGCAGCGAGAGCCCCAGCGACGCCAAGCTCCTGAATGTGCTCGTGATGAGGCTCGGCGTCCTGCAGCAGGACCTGGGCTGCTTCATGAGGAAGGTGGACCACCTCGCTGACTGCCTTAAGGAGCAGACAGACTCCTTCCCCTTCTCTGGCCCCAGCGGCCAGGACTCCACCAAAGAGACACTGCAGAAAGAGCACGGCTCCGACTTCCAGGTACGGCTCTCTTTCCCACGTCACTGCAGTTCCCTCGCAGCAGTTATTGCTTTATTTGCCACGCTTTTCCCTCTGCTTTAGCAAAGCAACCCCCGAGCTGTAACGTAACCTCCTTGTGCCTCTCTAGAGCAAAACCCAGACTAACCCTCCACTCGCTGCATGCCGGTGGAACCCAGGACAAGATAGGACTCTGCTCCAACAGAGTGTGCGCAGGACAGTAGGCGGAGCTGGGCCTGAGCTGGGCCTGAGCTAGGCCATGGGGAAGGCTGGGTTGGGGCTTTAGCACTCCAGACATGAAGCCCCTACTGTCCCCATGGGCACAAATGCCCGTGCATTTGTGCACAGGTGGGTGCCAGGCTCCTTGTTGCAGAGCCGAGCGTCCCTAGGCGGGCTCGGGAGCTCTTCCCTTATCCCACATTGACCGCTGGCTCCCGGGAGCAGCTGGGCATGTGGGACCTGGAAGGTACTGCAGATTGCAAGGCTGGGATAATGGCCCCCAGGGGAAGGAAACTGCAGTCCCGAGCTACATACACTGAGGAAAGAGATCCCAGACCAGAAAATCTGTAGAGCGAAGACACAAGGGCAAATTTGGGTCTGATAACGGGCGTTTTTGGCGCAGTGGAGAGGAGCTCCCCAGCTCCTCTCCCGAGGTGGCCATCACCTGCCTGGAAGTGCGTCCCATAGGGGAGGGAAAGCAAGCCCCAGCTGCTGCTTTGGCAGGAGCCCTCGTGCCGTGCCGGGGCCAGGCCTCTCTCTGGAGCACACTCGCTTGTTCAGAGTTCTATTTTGCTGCATGCTGCCGGACCCCAGTCCCTCCCGCCCCGCTCCTGGTCTCCCCCAGTCACTGCATGGCACCGTAACTGGTGTTTGCACATTTTTTCCCTCTCTCTCTCTTTTTTTCCCCCCCTCCCCGAACAACCCAGGCCACGTGTCTCCTCATCCTGTGTTTCCTTTTGGTTTCCGCATTGTCTCCCGCCATGGTGATGAAGCTCCTTCTCCTCCTCATCCTTTTTGTCGTCTTGTAGTTCTTTACTGTTTCGGAGACCCATTGTTTTGTTTTCTGGCTTTCTTTTCTTCCCGCTCTTTTGGTTTGTTCTCATTAACTTGCCCACGCATGCAGCAGCCTGATTTTAGGGACGCCGACCCTTACCGCCTCACCCACGCCAAGGACACGGACACCGGCACTGCGCATCCCCGGAGCTACAAAACCTGCCGGCCTGATGAGAACGACTCCTACGCCTCCGAGGTACGAAGCAGCCTCCCCTGGGGTGGCCGGGGACGGTCACGGTCTAGCTGGGCACAGAGCAATGCCATGGGGAGGAGCGAGATCTCCTTGGGCTGGGCTGGCAGGGACATTGCTTCCTCAGTGTCCTTTTCATAGTTTATAGCTTAAGGTTGGAAGGGACTGCAGAGGTCATCTAGTCCAACCCCGTGCACACGCAGGGTCACCCAGAGCACAGGGCACAGGGCTGCATCTAAGCGAGTTTTGAAGATCTCCAAAGGAGGAGACTCCACAACCTCCCTGGACAGCCTGTGCCAGGGCTCTCTCACTGTCTAGAAATGTTTCCTTAAGCTCCTATGGAACTTTTGGTGCCTCAGCTTGTGACCATTTCCTCTAGTCCTATTACTGTCTACCACTGAAAAGAGGTCACCCCCTCCTCCTCACTGCCTCCCTTGAGGTATTTACAGACACTGATCAGGTCCCCCCTCAGCCTCCTCTTCTCCAGGCTGAACAGGCCTGGCTCCCTCAGCCTTTCCCCATAGGGCAGATGTTCCAGGCCCCTAAGACTTCCAGACTTTTGAGGTCTGTGTTCCCAACAGGGACTGAAAATGCCACTGGGGTGACCGACCTCACCCTCCCAACCACAGCTTGTGCCTGTTGCTGCTTGATTTATCCCTTGGCACTACCGAGCAGAGTTTGGTTTTTTTCTGAGGAGTTGCAGGCTGATAGAGGTCACCCCATAGCCTTCTCTTTTGCCAATTAAGCCAGTCCAGCTGCATCCACCTCTTACAGACAGTGTCCAGTGCTGCTGGTGTGCAGAAGAGCTGGGGACGAACCTTCAGACCCCAGTGTGGCTGTGGGCACAAGTTTTTGGAGATATCTTTGGGTTAAGGATGAGAAGGTTCCACCTGCCTATTAAATTGCCTGCTACCAGCACCATACATTAGTGGTCAGTGCTATACCCAGCAGAGTCTCCTCTGCTTTGATTAGAAAAATAATTTTCTGTGGGCTTGCTAGGCAGTAGATAACCATGTGCTGGGTGTCCTGGTCCTCCTGCGTGGCCTCAGGCAGCCCTGGCCCTGGATCTTGGACTAAACAGGCTCCTCAGGGAAAGCTCCAGTGCCCATTCCCCGGTGCTCCAGCCCCAGCTGTGTCAGGCTGGGGGCTTTGCAGTTCAATTCCACTACTTTATCTAGGCCAGGCCCCCAGGTCATTCCCGTGTGGATGGGATGAGTTCTCCACGAAGTGGAGGGAGATGGACCTGCTGCAGACCCTCTGGCCTTGGGTCCCTGGGCTGGGGAGCTCCCTCCAGGCTCAGAGCCTGGCTCCAGACAGCAGGAATGAGTCAGGATCTTTCCCTGAGCACTTCAAGCTCAAAAGCTGCTCTGGGAGCCACCTCATTCGACCCTTAGCTGTGGGCCTGGCTGGGAAGCAGGCAGGCGTGTGACACTGCCCGCTCTGCGCTGCAGGCCTGATGGGTGAGACACGTCTGCTGCTGACCTGCTGTGGCCTCCTGGCCCCACACAGGGGCTGGGAGGGTGAGCGGGGACCCACCGTGCCCCTCTTGCTGTTGCAGATGAAGGAGCTGCAGCTGGTGCTGGCGGAAGCCAACGAGAGCCTGCGGGGCCTGCAGGAGCAGCTCTCCCAGGAGAGGCAGCTGAGGAAGGACGAGGTGGACAACTTCTCCCAGAAGATCTGCCAGGTGAGCGGACAGCAGCCCTGGCTCCCTATGACCCCTAGAGACAAGTCCCAGCTGCCATGACCATGCCAACACCAGCACCAACCCTTTAGCCGTCACTCCAGTTGACACTTGGCTTATCCCATCCTCAAAGGCTACAGAGGCCAAGGGAGCTTCTCCTTTCACGGAGACAGGCAGCAATGCAACCTTCCCCCCAAGAGGCTGTCTCAGAGGCCCCACTTTCCTCGGATCAGAGCACTGTCAGGAGGCTGCAGCTCCTTGTGAGCTGCTTTGGGGACGTAATATATGGGACCTTACTCCAGACTCTACCCTTGCCAGCCAAAACCCTTGGGAGGCAGCAAATCATCCCTGACCAAGTGGCCTTCCCAAGGTAATGTCTCCCAGCAGCAGTTGTGGGTGGTGGGCTGAGACCTCAGCTGCTCAGTTGCCTCTCCCATAGCTGAAGGAAGACCACCAGAAAGCCCTCCTGAGGCGGGAGTTTGAGCTGCAGAGCCTCAACCTGCAGAGGCGGCTCGAGCAGAAGTTCTGGAGCCAGGAGAAGAACCTCCTGGTGCAGGAGTCCCAGCAGTTCAAGCAGAACTTCCTCCTGCTCTTCATGAAGCTCAAGTGGTTCCTCAAGCACTGGCGCCAGGGCAAGATCGTGCACAGCGAGGGCGATGACTTCCTGGAGGTACCGTGGACAGCGGGGCCTCCGTGCTGCCCAGGAAGGGGTGGTCGGGCACAGCGGGACAGGGAATCCCAATGCTCTTCCTCTGCATGCTGCCCAGCATCCCTGGGGATCTGCCCACCTCCACGTTTGTGCCTTGTAGCTGCTCTGTGTCTGTGCCGGTGCCGGGCTCCTCTCTGCTGCTCCGAGCCCCCGTGTGCTGCAGTGGGGCAGGACTGTGTGGCACCGAGCAGGGACCATGCTCAGCTGCCCCACGGGCCACATGCCTTGCAGGTGAACAGCATGAAGGAGCTCTACCTGCTCATCGAGGAGGAGGAGCTCGCCCCGCAGCAGCAAGCAGACAACAAGACGTGCGCCGGAGACGCCTGGACCCCCAACTCGGTAAGCAGGGGTCCCCAGGGGGGACGCACAGGGACGGGCAGGTCCTTTGCACAACCACCACCACCCCAGGTGCGTGTGTGGGGACGTCTTCCCACCCGTGCCCCGTGAGTGGCCCTGGCCACGTGGGTGTCCCAACAGCCCTTGGAAAGGGGACATGGGAGGAATCAAAGTATCATAGAATGCTGAAGGTTGGAAGGGGCCTCCAGAGGTCATCTAGTCCAGCTGCACACACAGGGTCACCTAGAGCACGGGGCACAGGCTGCATCCAAGCAGGTTTTGAAGATCTCCGGAGAAGGAGACTCCACAACCTCTCTGGGCAGCCTGTTCCAGGGCTCTGTCACCTTCACAATAAAAATTTTTTCCTTAAGTTCCTGTGGATCTTTTGATGCTTCAGTTTGTGGCCACAAGCCACAAGAGAGGAGGCTCTTTGGGTCACATGGGGCGCAGCTCCAGGGGGACGCAGTGGGTGCCAGTCCCCTCCATCCATGGGCCCAGCGCCCTCCGAGCTGACCCACGCGTCCCCTCCGTGCCGGCAGCCCCACGAGTGCGTCAAGACGCTGGCGGACATGAAGGTGGTGCTGAAGGAGCTGTGCACGGAGCTGCGCGAGGAGCGCCGCGGCGCTCACGAGCTGCAGCAGCAGTTCACCAAGGCCAAGGCCGCCTGGGAGATGGAGCGCGCCGAGCTCAAGTGCCACGTCGCCCAAGTAAGAGCCCCGCGCGGCAGGACGGACGGGGCTCCATGGCACCCAGGGACTGGGAGCAGGGAGGAGTGGGTGGCGCAGCGGGAGTGGCCCTGAGCAGCCGGCTCTGCTGGATGAGTTTCTATAGCAACGAGGCTGCCTGGAAAAGCTGCCTGTGGAGCCAGGATGTGCTGGGAGGGAGGATGCGCTGGGAAGGAGGATGCACAGGAAGGGAAGATGTCCTCAGAGGAAGGATGCGCTGGGAGGGAGGATGCGCTGGGAGGAAGGAGGATGCGCTGGGAAGGAGGATGCCATCAGAGGGAGGATGCACTGGGAAGGAGGATGCGCTGGGAGGGAGAACGCGCTGGGAAGGAGGATGCCCTCACAGGGAGGATGCACTGGGAAGGAGGATACGCTGGGAGGAAGAACGCGCTGGGAAGGAGGATGCCCTCAGAGGGAGGATGCACTGGGAAGGAGGATGCCCTCAGAGGGAGGATGCACTGGGAAGGAGGATGCCCTCGGAGGGAGGATGCCCTCAGAGGGAGGATGTGCTGAGAGGGAGGATGCCTTCGGAGGGAGGATGCGCAGGTAAGGAGGATGCCCTTGGAGTGGGGATGCGCTTCGCTGCTCCGCAGGGCTGGGCTGGGGTGGGAGAGGCTTGGTGCATTCCCCGTGGCCGTGGGTCACAGCGTGGGTCCGAACGGGCTGCGAGGCTGCAAGGAGGGACGAGGGTTGGCAGCAGGAGGCGCGTTCAGCCAACGTGCAGCCAGGCCAGCCATCTGCCAGCCCGTCTGGTGTGGGCACGGTGGCAGGATGGGCCAGGCTGGGCTCGAATGTGTCCTCTGGAGAGCTCCCCAGACCTCTCAGTAACACAGCCCAAAGGCAGCCGTGCAAGACGTGGTCTCCAGCCCAGCTTCCCAGTGCTGCTGAAGGAGGCAGCATCCCCAGGGCCACTCAAATCCTCCATCCCTTTCCATAGTTACTGTGAGAGAGGTGGAAGGATGTGGAGGCTCTGCACTTGCCTGTTGCCTTGGCCAGCTGCCTCTGCAGCCATCACAAGGTCCTGCCTTTAGGAAGCTGAAGTTGGTACCCAGGATGGCTGCAGGTGTCAGCCCAGCTCTGTGGTGGGAGCAGTCTCTCCCTGCTGTGAGGAGCTCAGGGGTATCTTCACAGATCACAGAATGGTCGAGGTTGGAAGGGACCTCTAGAGATCATCTCGTCCAGTCCCTCTGCTCCAGCAGGGACACCCAGAGCACGGGGCACAGGGTGGCATCCAGGCATGTTTGGAAGATCTCCAGAGAAGGAGACTCCACAACCTCCCTGGGCAGCCTGTGCCAGGGCTCTGTCACTCTCACAGGAAAGTTCTTCCTCATTTGGACATTCAACTTCTCTGTATCTGCAAAGAAAAAGATGTCCCTTGGTTGTTCAGGCCCTGTCTCCACATAATACCTCCTTGAAAGACCCTTATCCTCTTCCATGCATGTCCCTCTGAGTAGTTTGCGTTCCCCTTTGTTGGAACATCAACCTTGACAGAATGAGGGACATGTTGTTGCCAACCTTCCCAATCCGCTCCTGGGTGCAGCGAGCATATTGCACAGTCCCTGAAATCCCTGCATGGAGACAGTCCTGGAGACTTACCTGCTTGTCCTCCTGTCCCCACAGCTGGAGTCAAAGGCAGGCAAAGGGATCGCGGAGCGAGCGCTGCCGGACTGGAAGGTGGCGCTGAAGAGGGAGCGAGAGGAGCACCAGCATCTCCTGGCCGAGTCCTACAGTGCCGTCATGGACCTCACCAAGCAGCTCCAGATCAGCGAGAAGAACTGGAACCAGGAGAAGGTGGAGCTGCTGGCGCGGTTCAAGGAAGAGCAGCAGCAGGCAGAGCAGCAAGCAAAGGACCTGCAGAACAAAATCAACCAGGTACAGGATCTCCTGCATAGGCACGCGCGCCCCAGCTCCTGCTGCTTAACCCCTGTGCGTGCCCCAGGAGCATGTAATTGGCCTTGGGGCATGCACAAGTGGCAGGTGGCAACTGCTTGGCTTGCCCGGAGAGGCACCCAGCTGTGCCTCGCGCGTGTCAAGTGACCGGCATGTTCTCCAGTTGCAGAAAGGAGCCAACCCTTGGGCTTTGAAGCACTCTGAAATGGAGAAGCACGGCAGCAACTGGAAAGAGGTGGGCAAAAGGGGCCGAGGGGTGGCCAAGGGCACCCTGGCTGGCCCCACGGCTGCTTTTTGGGGTGCTGCCCACCCCGTCTGCGCTGGGACAGGCGCCTTGTGTGTTGGTTCTGCTGCTGTGCAGAGCTTTGCTGTGCTCGGCTGCGCACTGGGAGGCAGGTGGAGCTGGCAGGTGGCCAAACAATCACTGCCTTGAACAGCGAGCTGTGCTGGCTGTGGTTGCGAGAGACGTGCCAAGAATTGGGGAGAAGATGGTAGAGGAGATAGCTCGTCCTGCCTTCCCACGCACTGGAGGATTCGCTGGGTCCCAGGGCACAAAAAAAGATGATTTACAACAGTTGTGGGCACCGGGAGCTCCTCGTAGCCGTGGGTATAGGGTGCAGGATACAGCGGGAGGTGCTACAACTTGAAGAAGGGGTTGAGAAGAGCAGGGTGCAGCCCCTGTTTCAGCACATCTGCCTGTTTTGGTCCTGTGAGCGCTGATGCCAGGGCTTTCTTCCCTGTCCTCCTAGGCTCTCAATGAAAAAATCACAGACAAAGAGACAATCTCTGAAGCAGACGCCATGGGAACCAACTTAAAACGGTGAGAGCACCATGCGTGGTGCAGAAGGGGCCTGGTTGTTCCACAGAGTGTGGAGCAGCCTGCAAGGAGCTGAGCCAGCATGTCCTTGGGCTTGGCAGCTCCGTGAGCCTGGGCAGAGGTGCCCACGTGTTGTCTGCAGGTCTGGCTGGGTGCAGGGACAAAGGGGAGATGAGTGACAGCGTTGGGAGAGGGACAACGGCCCTGCTGCAGGGCTGCGCTGGGGCCTCCCTGTGAGGAAGAGCCCCCGTTACCTCTGAGGGATCCCATGGGGAATGGGATGGGCTGAGTGGCTGCAGCAGCACAGACCCTGCCCTCCAGTGCCACAGCTGGGCATTTGTGACCCTTGTCCCCTTTTGTCCCCCCAGCACAAAGTCCGTTTCCTCCATGTCAGAGTTCGAAAGCTTGCTCGACTGTTCTCCCTATCTCCCTGGAAAGAGTGCGCCGGGGCTGGTCGACCATTCCCGAGGCAAAAAGGCGTCTCCGGCTCCACAGCTGCTGCCCAACAGCATCCGGGACAGCACCGGCCTCCCTCCCCCCAGCTGTACATATGTGAATATTGAGCAACCTGCCCCCGACAGCCTGGCCAAAGAGAAGCTGGGCATCTCTTCTTGGGACTACTCTCGTGCAAGCAACCTCTCTGGGCACGACCCGTCCCAGAAGCAGATGCAGAGGAGCTACACGGCACCCGACAAGACGGGCATCCGCATCTACTACAGCCCCCCTGTGGTCCGAAGGCTGGAGGCGCCTCTGGTCCACAACAAGGAGGGCAAGATTATGATTGAACCTGGTTTCTTGTTCACGATGGCCAAGCCGAAAGAGCCAGAGGAGTCGGACAGCGCTGAAAACACGTACAGCCAGTGGCTGTGCAACTTCTCCAAGCAGCACCGGGAGCTGCTGGACGGTGGTGCCGTGGAGAGCACGGTGCCCCCGGTGCCGCGGTTCCCGTCCTCCCTGCACGACCTGGAGATCTCCGGCAACATGAGCGATGACATGAAGGAGATCACCAACTGCGTGCGCCAGGCCATCCGCTCCAGCTCGCTGGAGAGGAAGGTGAAAAGCACCTCCAGCCAGACGGTGGGGCTGGCGAGCGTAGGGACACAGACCATCCAGATGGTGAGCGTGGGGCTGCAGACGGACCTGCCGCGGAGCAGCCTGCACAGCAAGAGCTGGTCCCCGCGCAGCTCCTCCCTCATGTCTGTGCGCAGCAAGCAGATCTCCTCCTCTCTGGATAAGGTCCACTCCAGGATTGAGCGGCCGTGCTGCTCTCCGAAGTACGGCTCCCCAAAGCTCCAGAGAAGATCCTCCTCCAAGCTGGATGCCACCAAGGACAGGAGCCTCTGGAACCTCCACCAGAGCAAGCAGAACGGCTCTGCCTGGGCCCGCTCCACGACGACTAGGGACAGCCCCGTCCTCAGCAACATCAACGACGGCTTGTCCAGCTTGTTCAGCGTGGTGGAGCACTCCGGGAGCACGGAGTCCATCTGGAAACCGGGCTGCCCAGAGAGCAGGGCCAAGCCCGAAGCCCCCAAGTATGGCATTGTGCAGGAGTTCTTCAGGAACGTCTGCGGGCGGGCGCAGAGCCCCACAGCCCCCGCCGAGAAGAAGGAGGCCGTCGGTGAGGAGGGCAGCAAGAAAGCGGAGCACCCCAGCCCTGCCGCCTATCACCAGTCCGAAAACATCTCCCGCATCTTGAACAAGAAGGTCCTCAAGCAGAGCAGCTGTGAGGACCCCAAACCATCGGCCCCAGGCCAAGGGAGTAAGGACACAACCCTGCGGGACCCGGACCTCATCTCGGCTATAGCCGGCGAGGTAACGGCTCTTGCTTTGTCCCGACTAGCATGGTATCCTAGAGCGGGGCAGGCGCCTGGATGCTGCCCGAGACCCAGAGGATGGTACCGCAAGCCCAGAGCGAGACATGGGCTGCGTTGGCAGACGGTGCCTTGCAGGGATGGCCTGGTGGTAACCACAGCATGGGCTCTGCTCTGCCAGGTCCTTGGGTCTCTCTGAGCAGCCAGCAGGATCCCCGAGCAGGATCAGGGTGCACTGACCCATCCGTGCTCCGGTGTCTCCCGCAGCACCCTTGGGAGACTCCGTCCTGTCCAGCTGTGCCGCCCCTCTAATCCGCCCCCGTTTTGTCTCTGCAGGACACGGCGTGCGACTGCAGCTCCCAGTCCCTCACGTCGTGCTTCGCCCGGCCGTCCCGCTCCGCCGTCCGCCACTCGCCGTCCAAGTGCAAACTGCACCCGTGCGAGCCCAGCCGGGCCGAGGAGAAGCCGGGGCCCTCCAGTGAGTGAGGGCAGAGGGAGGGCGCCAGGCCGAGCGTCTCCTTTCCGCTGCGCTGCGCGGAGAGCGCCCTTCGCGCCCGGCCGTGCCGCGCGAGCCGAGCTGGGAGCGCCCGCATCTGCCTCCTAGCCGTTCCCTCGCCCGCGGGGACGCTTACGAAGCAGATGTTGCGCTCGGGCCGGGCCGCCGAGGCTCCCGGGCGAGCCGCTGGCGCCGAGGAGCACGAGTGACGCCGTTCACGTCAGCGTGGGTAGCGGCAGGGCCGGCGGGCAGAGCGCGGAGCGGCCGCATGCGCGCGCGGCGGCCGTGCTCGGCGCCCTCTCCCGGGCTCCGCGCGCCGGCAGCGCCGCCGCGGCCCCCGCTTGCCGCGCGGTTGCATCAGCCCGCGGCCGCTCGCGCCTCCCCGCGCAGGAAGGAGCAGCGGGGAGGATCCCGGGGGCCCCGCTCGTCCTGTCTCCTCCTCTGGCTCCAGCCCTGCAGATCCCAGCCGGGCAGCGCGTTTCCCACAGCCCTGGAGCAGCAGGGCGCCCGCTTCCCTTCCTGGAGCCGCTTTCCATTACTTGCTCATCCAAGTGCTGCAGCTAACACAGCCCTCCCCTTTCCTCCCCCTCTATCTCCAGACAGCCTGCAATGTAACGCCAAGTGCATTTTAAAAGTAACAAAACGGAGCGAAACCGGGGGGGAAAAACATTTGGGGTGTGGGGTTGCGGGCTGGCAGCCACGCAGCGCTCGGTAGCCACGACAAACAAGCCTTACGGAGGGAGCGCCGGGTCGGCACGGGCGTCCGGGCTGCCCTCGCCATCACCGGAGGTGCTGGTGGAGCCGGGCACCTGCGTGCGGCTCCCGTCGGCGCCTGCCCCGCTCCGTTTCGGAGCGGTGAAGGGCACCCGCTGGGAATGATCCGCACCCGCAGCACTCCCGGCGCCGCGCTGGGTGCCCCTGCTCCCTCGCAGCCCGGGTGGAGGGTGGTGATTCCAACAGGCCTGACCTACTTTCAAGGCTGCCTCAGGCACGAGCGGGATGCAGCCGCTCTGCCCTGGCTGCAACGGGGGCCAGGGAGCGGGATGTCCATGTGGAGCTGCCTGCAGGGGGCTGGATGTTACAGGGGGGCTCTGTGCATTGCCCCAGGGCTCTCTGCATCGTTCTGAGGGTCTGTGCATTGCCTTGGAGCTCTGTGCATCACCCCGGGAGCTCTGTCCATTGCCCTGGGGCTCTCTGCATTGTCCTGGGGCTCTCTGCATCGCCCTGGGACCTCTGTGCAGTGCCCTGGGAGCTCTGTGCATTGTCCTTGGGCTCTCTGCACCGCCCCAAGAGCTCTGTGCATTGCCCTTGAGCTCTGTGCATTGCTCTGAGGGTCTGTGCATTGCCCTGGAGCTCTGTGCATTGCTCTGAGGGTCTATGCATTGCCCCGGGGGCTCTGTGCAGTGCCCTGGGGCTCTGTGCATTGCTCTGGGGACCCTGCCCATTGCTCTGGGGCTCTGCACTCTTGGCCCCGTGCGTCGCTGCCGTTGCATCCCGCAGCGCTGCAGAAACAGCGCTCCTGCAGCCGCAGCTGCTGCCCCCTCCTGTCCGTGCCCGCGGCAGGCGAGCACGCTGCCACTGCCACGTCGCAGCCGCCGTCACCACCGGCATCGCGCGGGACGCCCAGCACAAACTGCCTTGTGGCCCCGCGGCAGCGCCGGGGGATGCGCTGCCCTCCTCACCAGCAGCCCCCCTCGCACGGAGGCGGCCGGGGCCAGCGCGGGCAATCCCTCCTGCTGTACATAGTTCCTTTTGGGGTGGTTTTTAGCATTTTCATCGATAACTCGGGTTGGTTTGGGTCTGTTTTTGTTTTATTTTGTTGTTTTTTTTTAAGGACTCTCTACTTTTGCAACGTGGTTTCTCTCATTTTTACGACTGCCTTTTAATTATTTGTACTACCGGCCAGCTCTGTCTTACTCTGCCCACGGCGGGACCCGGTGTCCTGCCCGCCGGGGCCCTGGGTGTCCTCGTCCCTCTCCGGCTGGTCCCTGGTCCCGTGGGTGCAGCGCCAGGTCGCATGAAGGGTCCTCCTGCCCCTGATGACAGCCCCGTCCCACATGGCCCTGCCTGTTGGGTGACAGATGGTGGCCCCGTCCCTTTGGCCCCGGCTTTCCCCCCTGCCCAGCCTGGTGTGTCACCCAGCCTCCCCTCGTCCCTGTGCTGTCCCCATCGCCGTCCCCACGTGCTGACCCCTCTGCTCTGCTCATAGGGCTGCACCGTGCCACCCGCCGGGCTCCCTGTCCTTGCCCACAGCTCTCCATGTTGCGTCCCCAGGCGCCGCCACCCTGCACAGCACTCCTGGCACTGCTCCTCTGTGTCCTTTTGCACCTCTGGGTGCCATCCCCGTCCCATCCCACCCAGCTGCTCACCCAGCACTGCCTGTTCCCATCTCTTACTGCATCTCCATCCCCATCGCTGCCCGTTTGACCCTCACCGCTGGCAGATCCAAGCTGCCTCCAAGCTCAGTAGGTTAAACCAGTCCTCTGCCAGGTTCTCCACCTCCCACCACCGCCTATCGCTCCTTCCTGTGCTCCTCGCTTGCTTGCCGTGTCCCATCCCTCCCTGAACTGCTCCTCCACCCACCGTGACACACCATGTCCCATCCCTCCTTTCTCTGTTCCTCCAACTCCCACTTTCCATCCTTCCTTCCTGTGGTTCTTCATCACCCTCTACCCCCCTTCCAATCATTTCCCACCACCTCCCATCTCTCTTTTCTCTTCCTCTATCACCACTACTTCCCATTTCTCCTTTCTGAGTTTTTCCATCATCCACCACCTCCCTTCTCTCCTGTGCTCTTTCATCACCCACCACATCCCATCCCTCCCTGCTTTCCTCTTCCGTCACCCACCACTTCACATCTCTCCATCCTCTCTTCCTCTATTGCTCACAACATCCTATCCCTTCCTACTATTCCCTCTCACTACCCAACCCTTCCTCCTGCTGTCATCCACCCACCACAGTTCATCCCTCCTTCTTCCCATCCTCTGTTGCCCCCTGTCTCCCATCGTTCCTGTGTTCCTCCATCACCCACTACGACCCATCCTTGCTTGAGCAAGGGAGTTGGACTAATTCATTTCCTTTCTCAACCCTTCTTTGTGATTGCATTTGATCCCTCCCTCCTGTGATCTTCCATGACCCATCCTCACCCATCCCTCCTATGCTCTTCCCTAGCTCATTGCATCTCAGCCCTCCCTGCCCTGCTCCTCTGTGGTCCACCATGTCTGTATCCCTCCTTCTTCTCCATCAACCAGCATCTCCCATTCTTTGTTCCCTCCTCTTCATCACCCAACACCTCCTGTCACTCCTTCCTGTGCTCCTTCCTTCTTGCCAATGTCCCATTGCCTCCCTGACCTGCTCCTCCATTATCACTGTGACCCATCCCTTCTTCTTGTGCTCCTGTATCACCATCTTCTCTGCCTCCTACCTCTGCTTCTCCATGACCCACTACCTCCTGTCCCTCCATCTTCTCCTCCTCCATTGCCCACCACATCACGTCCCTCCTTTTTTGCTCCTCCATCACTCACCACATTCTTTGTCCTTCCCCTGCTGCTCCATCACCCACAAGGTCCCATTCCTCCACTCTCTTCTCCAATGCCCAGCACATTCCATCCCTCCTTTTTGTGTGGTCATCTGTCACTTGTCTCATCACTCCATCCTCTCTGTCATCCCTCCTTCCTTTGTTCCTCCATTACTCACTATGTCCCATCTCTCTCTGTCCTGCTTCTGCATTGCCCACTACATTCCTCTCTCCCTCCTGTGCATGTCCTACCACATCCCATCTTTCCCTCCTGTGCTCTTCCATTGCCTCCACATCCTTCCCTCCTCCTTGTGCTCCTCCATTGCCCACCACATCCCATCTCTCCCTCCACTGCTCCTCCATCACTCACATCCATCCCTTCCTCCTCTGTTCCTGCTCTACCCACTGTATCCCACTGCTTCCTTATTCTTGTCCATATCTTATCATCCCCTTGTCTCATCTGTTCCTCCTTCATTCCGCATCCCATCACTTCCATCCTCATCCGGCTTCACCTTCACCTTTCTTTATCTTCTATTCTTCTAGCTGTCAACATGTCATTATCTTTTCTCCCATTAGCCTCCACCGTCCTCTCATTCCTCCTCATCTTCCTCTGCATTTTACCATCTTTCTGTCTTATCCTTCATCAACTCACATCAACACCTCCGCCTTCTGTAACCTCTGCCATTTCGCATTTCTTCTTTTATTCATCATTTTCTATCTCCTATCTCCTCTTTTTTCTCTCTCTTTCTCTTCTCTCTCTCTCTTTCTCTTTCTCTTTCTCTCTCTTTCTTCTCTTTCTCTCTCTCTCTCTTTCTCCTCTCTCTCTTTTTCTCCTCTTTCTCTTTCTCTTCTGTTTCTCTCTCTTTCTCTCTCTCTCTTTCTCTTCTATCTCTTTCCCTTCATCTCAGAATCCATCCTCACCTCCCACCATTGCCTTGTCCCTCTAACTGCCAATTTTTTCCCATTTTTCTTATTTTCCTGTCTTACCATTTCCCATTTTTCCTTTTCCTCCTCCACTTCCCATCTCTCATACTTTATCTTTTTCCATCTACCATCTTGGATGCAGCCCTGTGCCACATGCTCTAGGTGACCCTGAATGTGCAGGGGGGTTGGACTAGATGACTTCTGGTGGTCCCTTCCAACCTTGGGCATTCTGTGATTCTGTGATTCTGTGATTCTCATCCCTTCTCCTCTTTCTCCATTTCCCCATACCTTCTTGTCCTCCTTCACCTGCCATCATCTTGTCATCTCTTCTATCATCCTCTTCCATCTGCCATCATTTCACCAAACTTCCTCATTCTCCTCCCCTTTCTACTGTTTCCCATCCTTCCCCATGCCCCAGCACCTCCCACTATTGGCCAGTTTCGCAGAATCACAGAACGTTTAAGGTTGGAAGGGACCTCTAGAGGTCATCTAGTCTGGGTGTAGCAGGGACACCCAGAGCATAGGGCACAGGGCAGCATCCAGGCGGGTTTTGAAGATCTCCAGAGAAGGAGACTCCACAACCTCCCTGGGCAGCCTGTGCCAGGGCTCTGGCACCCTCACAGTAAGAAGTTCCTCCTCACATGGAGATGGAACTTCCTGTGTTGCAGCTTGCACCCATTGCCCCTTGTCCTGTCACTGGCCACCACTGAGAAGAGCTTCTCCCCTTCCTCCCTACGTTCCCCCTTCGTGAACTTACACATGTTAATCATATCCCCTCTCAGCCTTCTCTTCTCCAAGCTA